CAGCACACAGAAAGCTCAGGATGAGTCACTGCAGATATAACAGAGGAATGAAATCTTGAGTCCAGTAGAAATTCCCATCTTCTTGCTCATCAGCTAAGATCAAGGGAAAGCTGAACTGCAGTGCCTCTGACACCCCTCTTAGTCATAATGGCTTGAGGATTCCCTTCAAGGTCTCTCAGGTCTCCACAGTTTTTTTCCCTGAATTGCTCCTGCTAGATTTTAATTCATATAGCTGTTCAAATGTCTCAGTGAGGAAGATGTGCCAGTAGACACCTTCTCTTTAACAGCAACTTCAGCAGCTACTGCCTCCCTCATTCCTCGCTGACTACCAGAAGCAGTGAGATAAAACTAATACAGTACTTATTGCTTATTTTGGTGACCTCCATGATCCCATTTGCTGCACAGGCAGCCAAGCATATCATCCATCATTGCAAATCACACCAGAAAAGAAGTGTAGGCAGCCAAGCATATCATCATTGCAAATCACACCAGAAAAGAAGTGGCAGTTCACTGACTGCAAACCATCTGGTACCAGTAGCCCCAGCACAGCACACGTGCTCCATGTGTCACTGGAAAGAACTGCACAGAATTCACTGCTGGGTCAAACTCCATACACTATGAACAACTTCTTTTGTCACTGTTGAATAAAGCAACCACTTCTCATCTGTGAAATGGAGAAGTCTAATCAAATCCTCTGGGGACTCTATTGGCTTATTCAATACACTGAAAACTATTATTTCCTGCTTTTATGATGTTGATTTTCTTCTATTTCCTGTAATCTGAATTATGAAATTGGTAAATCAGATGTGTGTTCTCACAAACCTAATTCCTTGTTCTTCCAGACCTCCTGCATGAACTGCATGAGATTTGAGAGTAACTAGGTTATTTGCACTAGGGAGATCACTTCTGAAGTACAAGTCATTTCAAAAATTCAAGATATATCATCATTTCTATAGTTATGAGGACAAAAAGGTTCAAATATTCTGCTTATTATTTGCATAACCCTAAAATACTCCAACAACTTCAAGAACAACAGAAAACATTTCAAACTGCATCATGCTTTAGATTACAGGATCCTTAGCCTATGTTTATCGCCTATGTTTATTTTTATTTAGAAAATAATTTACGTGCTGCAGTTGATTGAGCTAAACTGAGCATTATTTTATCTTGTCTCTTACTAGCGTAGGAGATACTTTAATGGAATATCCTGCATGTGCAATTAGAAGGCTGCACTGTCTTCTCTATTGAAGTAAGGCACTAAAATATTCTGTATTACAGACAAACGTGCTTTGCTTTTACTAACATTTACAGATAGTGATATCACATCGATAGCCCAGTTAAACTCCAGTGCTTCGCTTTACCTAGTCAGGCATTACTGGAAGCAGCAGGACACCCAAGAACCTCAAGACCTACAAGACAGACAGGTCTCATATATTATCATTGGTTTCTCTGCTCTAATAGCCTAATCAGTACTTTGTGCAGCAAATAGTAAGTATTTAGGATAAAAATTGGCACATAAATAAAGCTTTACTGGTGCATTATGGGCGACAAACAAGGAAAAGGCTTGCCAAAGCATTTTGGAAAAATGTGTTCCTTCAATCCAAGCAGCAGCACACTTCATGCACGCTGAGGATGCTCCCACCTGTTCAGTACTATGACAGTAATTACGTGAGGTGTCAGAGGTGTCCTGGTATAAAATCAAGGCTTGTTTCTTAGTTTCTTGGTAGAACTGTAACACAGTCATATAGCTTTAATTACTGATTGCTCCACCAGGTGTTTGTTTATTTTCCTGGTCTTTCAAGTCTCACATCCTGAGATTTCAAAAAGCAAAATAATCACTGTATTTACAGAACTGTATAATGCTAGGACAAAAACCTCAAAGAAAAAAAAATGCAGCACTCTTCAAGGGAAGCAAGAATGTGTTCCAACCTGCCTTTCAGGCAACCCTTAGATCAGTTGGTAAATACTGCATTTGTTTTACTGTAAACCCCTATGAAATATACATGTGCAAATAGCATTTTAGAGACGTATAATGTGCCAAACATATGTGCTGAGACTAAGAAATGCAAATGAAGTGAGGTTTTTTATAACCCCCAGGTCCATAATCCTGAATGCATGTAAATTCTGAAGAAATACTTACTTCAGTAGGATATTTTATTAATCTCTGGGAATGGTAGATAGAGAGAAATAGTATACTGATCCTGTCTTCAGCATCATTTGAATAACACTGCATCATTTACTGGATTCTGCCACTACTAGGAATCCGGGAAGAAGACAGTAAAAGGACTTTAAAAAAAAAGCCCTGCTGAAAATAAACTCTTTTGTGGTTAAAAAACAGCCAGTTGGAACTGAAGCAGTGTTTTCTTAGGGTGGCAGAACAGTCGGAAAAGTTGTTGGATTATTTTTGGCAGTGGCCAGCATATTATTGCTCTATCATTACTGTTATTAAACTGTCAGGAGTCCACTGAAAGGGTTATTACTTTACTAGTACATTCTTGCAAAAATATAGCATACTCATTATGTCAGCATGAAACTTTGGATTTTAGAACTTTGTTTGACCTTCCTGACACATTCATATCACTGTAACCAGCTCAAGTCCTAAATACTTGAACCACTCAGGTACAGCACAACGTGAGCCATGATGTACAGACAGCAGCAAATCCACTTTTTAAAAATCAAATAGCTTATATTTGGATCTTGGTAAGAGCCAAATGCAGTGGCCACAGTTACTGGCAGCCAGCTCTCCTGTGGACAGAAATTGTGCAGGTTTAAAACTAACCCAGTTCATGCTTTGGCGTTAGCAGCATGTTCTCCTCAGCAAAAGCACTTGAATCTACACACAGAATTTGAGCAGGATCCTTTGCAGTACAGGAGTACTTTATACAACTTTTATTTACCTTATTACATGGAACAGATAAGCTATCTAAATATTATTTCTCTCGCTTTCAATGGCACTCATGAATTTACAATCGGAAATGTATTCCACTGAGAAGGTGTCAGCATGCAGTATTTATTTGAAGAAAATAATGGGTTTCCTTTGATTTGGAGTCTATGTGAGCATTCAGAGGGTAGTAATTAAGACTGAAGTTATATCTGTCTTCACAGTAGCCAGAGGACAAGCCTTTAAGTATGTGCCTTCATGCTTCTGCAAGTTTTACATCTTCAGTTATTCTCAAGTATCACAATCAGGTAATTCTCTGCCAACAAATGACAATCTGTGATTCTTCTTCTGATTATCTACTGAATTCACTAAGATATTTCCCTGGTGTTCTAGCTGTTGCTTTCAGCCCACTGCTTTCACCAGGCTTCAGCAGCTACCCTTATCTTTTGCCTTCCTCCTCTTCACCAGGCTTCAGCAGCTACCCTTATCTTGTGGCAAATTTCTACTAAACCTGGGAGCAAAGGCTACAGTTTATGTTGCCTCAATGAAAAGAGTATTCCAGCCAAATGGCTCATTTGGACCCATTTTGAATCACATACCAAAAAAAGCCCCAAGGTTTAAGGCCTTCTTCCTGTGAAGGGTTGTCAGATTCTCTCCTAAGCCAGGAAGGCTCAAGTATGTCTCTGGCCCTCACCCGATTCCTGCCTGAATGCCAGTGAAGAAAGGAAGCTTGCCTAGGACAGAAAGAGGGTAATTCACTGGATTTTCACATCACCAGTGCTAGTTTGCCAAAGGTCTTGATGAAGAGATTCCATCAGGTAAGGACACATTTGGTTCACCCACTAAAAAGGCATCACAAGGTCATCTCCAAGTTTAATTTTGTACAACACCCTGATTTTCTGTTTTTTTCCTAAAATGGCAGCCATCCAGCACTGAGTATGACCAATTTGCCAGCTTTTAGCACGCAGTAGCTTCTTGCTCTGGCAGTATAGGAACATTAGAATTATTTTTTCTCTTTTTGTTCTTTTTCCACATGCAAACGAAAGATCTCAAGCATCATCCCTTTACTGAAGCAGATCCTCAGCAGTCAGTCTCTTATGAAATAGCTCAAGTAGAACTTGTGTTTCAGACAATCATTAGAGTCCAGTCACTATGTGAGAAGGTTCACTACTGTCTGCTGAGCTCCATGCTATTTCTTCCCCCCTCTGCTTGCTTTCACTGAATGTGATGCTGCTACAAAGCAGCCCAGCCACCTTTGCAACTGCATTTCTTCACATTCAGCTCAAACAGCGATGAGGCTAGAACCAAACTGTAGGTAGCTGGTATTTCACGGGGCATATCACGATCACCGTGTTACGTTGACAAAGACTCACAGGAGACACACAAGTTACTTTGCACTGGCTGTTCACAAGGTAAGGTGGTGGCCAGTTGGCAACCCTCCTTCAGGGTGTCCGAAGGAGTCCCAATGTGTGGGGCACTGCAGGAGGAGAAAGTATGGGGCACAAACTGCCTAATTAAGATGTGTGCCTAGCTCATTTGTGGATAGGGCATAGGGTTCATGCCTTGCAGGTACTACAAACACCACTAGCGTTGACTGATACTAGGAGTGCTGAAGTGCTGTGACAGAAGAAGGACGTGGGGCTGGGGATAGTGACGTTTAGACCAACCTGGACAACCCAGGAGACAACCCATCACCTGCATTCGCTGGCAAACAACTTGCGGGGCCGTTACTTGCAATCAGACCCAAACAAAGACGATGGAGGGTCTGAGCCCTCATTTGTCTATCGCTACTATGCAAACTCAGAGAGCGACATTGGTAGGGTCTGCTTCACTGTGCTGCACCCCTCCTGCTTTAGGTGAGCCTGGAAGATGCCCAAGAGGGGTCAGGAGCAGTGGACTGTTAACTACAGTCTGAATAAAGGTAGCTCTGTCTTCCAAACACACTGCTTTTCAAAGTCAAGAACTGCACTTTAGACAGCCTCTAGCTCTAACAGTGAAAAAGGCACAGTTTAGGGAGCCAAGTAAGTGGATTTGTCCTTGTACTCCTACTATTGAGTGGGGAAATGGTACTGAAAACACTTCTTTGCTGGCTAATTGAAACAAATACTTCTATTTCTAGCAGAACACAGAATAAGCGACTCCCAGGCTCGGCTCCGCAGTCCCACTGGCCCGATGGCATGCTGCAACCGACCCCAGCTCAGCGTCGGGAGGATATAAAGACCGTGCTGGGGGAGCAGTTTTTTGTGCAGTATACTCAGAGGTAAGCACAACACACCCGCTCTCCTCAGAGCAGACTGAAATTGCCTATTACCAGTATCGCACCAGTATCATTACCAGTATCACCTGCTTGACCAACATAAAAGTGGGGGAGAGTTGACACCTTGAACTTAAAAAAATCATCGGTGTGTCTTCTAAAGAATGAAAAGTAGGAAAGTTTGCATTTAATACTCATACTTTAGGGAAAACTTAGTTATTTGACTTATGTAATAAGTTGCTTTACTTATAACCACTAGCTAGCTATTGCCTGGCTAAAATGAGTTTCCACTTACTCTTGTCTTGTATTCTGTCTCCAGACATCATCGTATGTTTTCTGGGAAATGTTTACTTATAGCAAGATGGTCCACTTAGAAGTCACAATTTTCATTAACAACCTCTGTTTTAGTACAGATTTTTTATTTTTGGCATTGAAATGCCTGTGACAACCTTTGTGGCCAATGCACACACTACCAGCACTAGATCTGGCAGCTCTGCATCTCCCCAGAAGCTCAGGTGGCTGCACTTGGCACACGTGATGAACACCTCTAGAAAGCACCATGAAAGGGTCTAGTAACTAAGCATGTGACAAAGTTTAGAAATAACCCCCAAAATAGCCCGTAAAATATCCATATGTGTCAGCAAAGAAGTCCACAGCCTAAAGCATACCTATTATTTAAATGTTAACGTTTTTGCTTGTGTTGTCATCAAGGCTAGTCCACTTTTTCGATCTGTCAGTTTCTATTCTGCACTAATTTAATAATTTATTAAAAGATTCAATGTTGAATCTTTGGGAAAACTACCAGGTATCCCAGGTATTTGCCTGTATTTGGGCCACACTTTCCACAGAATGCTTTACCACAAGGAGAGGAAATACAGGCCAAGTTTAAAAAAAAAAAAAAAAAAAAAGAAAGTAAAGAAAAAGAAAAGAAAGAAAAAAAAGAAAAAAAAAAGAAAGAAAAAAGGAAAAAAAGAAAAAAAAGAAAACAAGAAAGAAAAAAAAAAAGCAAGATCTTTCTGATTTTGTGTTAATGGCCTTAAAGTAATAATCTTGGCATATGCAACATAAGAAACTCAGAGAAGGGAGATAACTGTAGCTGTTTTTAGAGCACTGAATCTTGTATAGCACAAAACCAGAAACAGCTCTTTGCTGACACTGCAATGTCTCTTTTCTATAGAAGGAAATAATAAAAAAAGGGTTTATGTATAAACAGAATAGGTTGAGGCTCCTATTGGCATGCCTAAATTGTGCCTGGATTTTGTTCTGCAAACCTTTTCCATTAACATTTCTGTCGGGAAAGCTAACTCTTTAGAGATGTAATGAACCATCTGATTTTAATTTGGTTGTAGAACAAGGGGTTACTCTCTGAATCATGCATAGCCAAGCTATTGAGCTACACCCAGCTCTATTTCCTTATACAGATGATGATGACTGCTCAAGCATGAGCAGCATGTGGGAAAACAGCAACCCTCAGCCTTGTTTTAAGCAAATTAAAGTAACTTTGGAACAGTAAGGATTTTCTCTCCGAGACAGACTTGATTCTCATCATTTTGTCCCCAATTCTTCCAGCCCAACTGTTGTACAAACAACTGCTAATGTGGCTTTTGGCCTTTCCCTTCTTTTCTCCCCTTAATGCAGGGACTGTAGCATCTTCACCCTCTTCAGTCACTGTCTTCACTTGGAATCTCCTGCTGATTTCTTAAATGCTTGCCCTGCACGAACGCTGCTGTTTATTTCATTTCAGCTCTTGTCTGAGATAAGACTATCTACACAAGATCCTTTGGGACATCTTGGGATTCTACATTTTCTACAAGATTGTGCTCTAGCAAAAGCCAAAGCCCCGGTTGAGCGCTTTAGCGCAGCTTGGGATTCTAGTCTGAGAAAGCTGAGCAGAAAGAAAGAGGGGGAATTTCAACAGTAAAATTGACCCACACCCAGAAAAAACATCAAGACATGCTGGGAAATCACAGTGGAACTGCTGAGCCTGATTCCTCCTTTACAAAACCCTGTTTGTCCAGTCTGTGTGCGGCTGCCTGCCTGCTGGCCGGACAGCGTGTAATTCAGGGCCAGCTGAGACATGTCAGGCAGGAGAAGGCAAAGAGACAGGGGAGGAGCCTGGCTTGGTAGTTTTTTTTTTTTTCTGTTTATACCCTGTCTCTGCTTATTAAGTCTTCAGAGAGGAAACACAATGTCTGTCCTTAACTGCAATTTCAGATCATATTTAATGTCTCTTATTCCCAGGATGCCTGCTGCTGATTTGTTAACCCAACATGCGGCTGACTTAGTCAACACACGGTAGTTACCTAACAAGGTATTACTGCTGCTGGTCTTCTACCATAAAATTGTTCTTAGCAAAGTTTTAGACTTTTGTCTTACACTTTTCCACGCCTAAACAGATGTGCGTATTCTCCAGATCCAAGGAAAGACTAGCACTGGCCCTGGATCTGCTATGCAGTGACATTGTGGAGCTTCTTGGTCTTGGAACTCTGAAAAAAGGAAGGTGTTTCCCCGTACATAATTCCCAGTACTATGTCCCCAGTGGGTTTAGCTGTGCTATACCAAAGATGCCAACACAGATGTAGCCTGTCACACACGCTGCTCCTATGTAATACCCATATTTGTCCCAATAGGCAGCTTGAATATGGAAAAATCCCATCTACCCTTGTGATGCCTGGGCTTTATCTGCCCAAAATCAGCAATGTGGTGCATCCCAAAAGAGCAAATGGCATAGAAGGAGGCTGCTGGAGGCTGCTGGAGGCTGCTGAGCCAGCCAGAGTGGTGGGGCCTGTCCACAGGGCAGGTAAGCAGGGCTGTTGAGCGTGCGATAACAGCAGGATTCGCTGGGGCTCCCCCTTCCACAAGTAATAGCTTGGCAGTCTCCACCCTAGCCCCAAGGGCACCTCTGCAGACAAATTAACTGAATGGATAGCTGTTTTAGCCAAGGGACTGCTTCTACTCTCACTGCTCGGCAGGGTATTTGCAGCCAAAAGATGAGCCCTGGCCAAAAAGGTTGCTGCAAAAATCACTAGAGATTTTACTCCTGGGAACACGCTGTCGCCATATGGTCTCCACATTAATAACACCAAACAAGTGCTTCATAAACAGTGTTCTAATAACAAATACCAGAGGAATTAATAATAATCTAACTATTATTTTTCTAATGTTCTCGCTTTATTAAGAACATTTATGCTGTCTGAATGAGCTCTTCCGGACGAACATCTGGCACGCGCACGAATACCTGATGAAATCTGTATGATTCTGGGTATCTTCTAAAATAAATTTCTTGTCAGCAACAGCATCCGTTTGTGCCAGCATGGCTTACAGTAACATTACGTTTTTCTTTTGTTCTAGGTGCATAGCGTAATGTCCATGCTGTACTACACTCTGATTATAGCTTTTTTGATCGGCACACAGGCAGCTCCAAAGTCAGAGGACAATGCTCCACTGGAGTATCCTGCAGAACACTCCCTGCTCCATACCCACCGGAGTAACAGACCCCACCTTCCCGAGGCAGCTCCACAGACATCCCACAGCCACCCTACTTGGACAATGGGTAGAAGAGAAGCTATAAATATCACCATGGACCCCAAAGTTTTTAAGAAGAGGCGTTTCCGGTCTCCTCGCGTGCTCTTCAGCACACAGCCCCCCCCGGTATCGGGGCAAGGACAGAATATGGGACTTCTCAGCAGTTCAGGTTCTCTCAACAGGACTGCCAGGACCAAGAGGACCACGCATCCCGTATTACACCGGGGAGAATTCTCAGTGTGCGACAGCGTCAGCATGTGGGTTGGGGACAAAACCACAGCCACTGACATCAAAGGCAAAGAGGTGACGGTGTTGGGAGAGGTCAACATCAACAACAACGTTTTTAAGCAGTACTTTTTCGAGACCAAGTGCAGGGACCCTAGGCCCGTCTCCAGCGGGTGCCGAGGGATCGATGCAAAGCACTGGAACTCCTACTGCACCACAACACACACCTTCGTCAAAGCCCTCACCATGGAGGGCAAGCAAGCGGCCTGGAGGTTCATCCGGATCGACACGGCCTGTGTGTGCGTGCTCAGCAGGAAGTCAGGGAGACCCTGAGATGGACCCAAATCCCACGACAGCATCCTCCTACCCCCCTACCTCAGTCTGTAAATTATTTTAAGTTATAAAGGACTGCATGGTATATTTATAGTTTATACAGTACAGAAAGAACCTCATTATTTATTAAACTCTTTTGGAAACCTTTTGTGTTTTTCGATTTATTTACTGGCAGAACCCTCCAGAAGGTGTTCACCTTAGTCTTGTTCAGCCCCGCAGCTCTGAAACTGAACAATCTTTACTTGCCATTCTACAAAAAGAAACCATTTTTCATAGTTTTCAAACACATGCCTCTCTTCCACAACAAAAGACTTTTCCTCACAAAGCCTGCCAGCTTACTGTGAAAATCTTGTAGGTTTATTTTAAACTGAAATGTTTATTCCAACTACCAAGAGAATGAAAAAGACCTTTCAAAACTTCCTTCCAGTTTTACTAATCATCCCTTAGAGAACTCCTGGTAGAAATACCAGTTCTTCATATTGCTAGATAATTTTCTAAGTAAGACCTTTAGTGCATTACTTTAAATTGCCAAATTATTTTCACTGCAAAAATAATAGATTCTGAATTATTTTGGAACTTTTGTCTGCACAAGAGTAGAATCTAGATGTATATATTTTACATTACATTAAAATTATATTTTGCAGCTCATTATTTATGTGCTATGTTAGAGTGATGGCATTGCAAGTGTCAATATACATATATAAATAAAGAGCTCATGTGGCTTGTAATTAAAATTTGAAAATTCTTTCAAGCTAGTATTTTGGCCATGAGGACTTGACATGGCAGCAAGTCTTTTTGTGCATGATATAAGAAAATTAAAAAAAAACAAACAAAAAAACCCCAACAAAACAAAACCACACACACAAAAAAACCCAAAACCCCACAGAAAACAAAAAAACCACCAAGGCTGTGTTTTAGCAAGAAGTCCCAAAATAACCCTATGCTCATAATTTCTGTGATTTGGGGAACATTGGTCTCTAAAAGTACATGGTGGAGCCTGAGGCCTGCGCTGGGTGTTGCAGTCATTGCACACTGAATAAAGCTGCTGTTTCTCTCATTGTTTCCTTTGGAAGAGCAGCTGTTATCCATTCAAGAAGCTGTTTCAAAACAAATACCGTTAAGGTTTTTCAGCTTGGTTTCTTCCAAATCCTAGAGGGCACACTTTCTCACTTGCCTTCCCTCATGCAGTTATTTCTTTAATGAAAAAAGCAGACTTCCCATATGCTTCCTCCACGTAAACACCAAAGAAGGGCAGCAGATCTCTAGAGAAAATGCTTTGTGGTAAAAAAGCACCAGTTGAAATAACCAAATCTAGGCAAGATATGTTTTCTGGTAGGACAGTGCCAGTCTGCATGAAGTGGAAGGCACCGAAACATTCCTGCTAATCACTAATTTTTCAGCCCCTTCTAGCAGGGGGTTATGGTGTGGGAGTGCAATATCCCAATGAGAATGTTTTGCTCTCTCCAGAACAACATATTTGCAATATTTTCATGACTAGTCAGTTATGTGAAAGGTCAAGGAGAGGGCAAGGCTCCTGACTGTCCTGTGTCCTCCAAATAATGGTGACTTCTTTTGCAGCGGGGGGAGGCAATGAAGACGAAGGAAATTTTACAGTGCAATCATGGAGGCTCCGACACAGCAGAACACAAAGCAGGGAAACACGGTATTCTGAAGCAAAGAAAAACATGGCATTGGAGCAGAGTCCCATCTGTGCATTTTGGTGGCCTTAAAGCAAGGAACAGAAGTAACAAATCTGCTTTAGAGCTGCTCTTTACTATACATGACACAATGCAACCAGGGAACAATGAAGTTGCTACTCATCCAGGACTTTATGGAGACGGCCGTTATTTCAGCACTGACATAACGAAACTGCAATTGAAAGTGTATCATGAGTGCATTTGGTAATTCCAACCATGTGTAAGACTTGGCATTTCTTCAAGGAGCCCTGAAACTGACAACTTACTTCATAAAGCAGTCTTGGGAACTGACCTTCTTTCCATGTCCAGCCCCCTTAGGGCTCCCTCTGACTACACCTTAAATCATGTTCCTGCCAAGAACAAGGTACTGCTACCTATAGCACCCAATCTGAGGGACAAAGAGCTGTCAGCAAAAGCTCTGTGAACTACTGTTAGAAAGCTAGACCTTGGTTAAAATGTCTCTTAATAACCATTTAGCTATTCATCATTTAGTCTTGCAGATACTGATGGGATCTATTCCACATTTATCCTCTCAGCTGACTTTCATTTTGTGCTCCCAAGACTGGAACTAGACTGCCGGTTCATCCTTCATAACAGTCACCTCTTATACGACTGACTTTTCTTGCCTGTTCATAAAAAAAGGTCTCAAAAGGGAGGGTGGAAGAGTGAAAAGGACAGTTTGATGCATTCACACTTGATCTTGATCCCACTGTTAATTGCAGAATCTAAAATTCCAGACGTGGAGGGACAGCCCCAAGCCTGTAAATTAAATTTTAAGGGCGTACATAGTTTCTCTCCCTGCACATCCGTTATTGTCATGCCTGTGCAACATGTTAATGTGACCAATGATCTACTGAGAAGCGGTGAAGTATTTAGAGAACTTAATTTAATGAGAATGTGAGGTTTTCACTGAATTTCACTGAATTTTTAGAGTTGGAAGGGACCATATAAAAATAGGAAAAACCTGGAAAAGTACATTCTAAACAAGATAATTATTGCCATATGTCAATTTTTATATTAACTATGACCTTAGATGGCAAAATAAGGCTCTACCTCACAAATGCTACTAGTCTACAGCACGGCAAGCTGGCTTAATAAAACCAGAAACAGAACAAAACCTGGGGGAACATTTTTGATACCCCTGTTGATACTCTGGAGGCTTAGCCTTCCAAACCACAGTTTGTGGAGGATAGGAAGGCCCTGCAGAGGGATCTGGACAGGCTGGATCAATGGGCCAAGGCCAGTGGTGTGAGGTTCAACAAGGCCAAGTGCCAGATCCTGCACTTGGGTCACCATGAACGCTCCAGGCTGGGGGAAGAGCAGATGGAGCAGAAAAGGAGCTGGGGGTGTTATTCAACAGGCGGCTGGATATGAGCCAGCAGTGTGTCCAGGTGGCCAAGAAAGCCAACAACATCCTGGCCTGTATCAACAATAGTGTGGCCAGCAGGAGTAGGGCAGTGATTGTCCCCCTGCACTGGGCACTGGTGAGGCCCCACCTCGAGTACTGTGTCCAGTTTTGGGCCCCCTACCATAAAAAAGACATCGAGGTGCTGGAGCGGGTCCAGAGAAGGGCAACAAAGATGGTGAGGGGTCTGGAGCACAAGTCTTGTGAGCAGCAGCTGAGGGAGCTGGGGGTGAAAAGGAGACTGAGGGGAGACCTTATCGCTCTCTATAACTCCCTGAAAGGAGGGTGTAGCGAGGTAGAGGTTGGTCTCTTCTCAGAAGTAACAAGCAATAGGACAAGAGGAGACAGCCTCAAGTTGCACCAGGGGAGGTTTAGATTGGATATTAGGAACAATAATCTTCATCAAAAGGGTTGTCAAGCATTGGAACAGGCTGCCCAGGGAAGTGGTCGAATCCCCATCCCTGGAGGTCTTTAAAATAGATGTTGGTGCTGAGCGACATGGTTTAGTGGTGGACTTGGCACTCTTAGGCTGACAGTTCGACTCAATGATCTTTAAGGTCTTTTCCAACCTAAATGATTCTATGATTCTGTAATTCTATGAGGATCGAAAACAATTACGGGTAAGAAAAAGGAAAGCTACTTCATATAAAATAAGATCAACTAGAGGGACTGCTATGAAAACAACTTATTTATTGTAATGGTGACTATGCAATTCTTACAAGAATATGAAATTCATCTCTTTATGAGGAAAAAAACCAAGATCCTTATATTTAAAAAGCAAATCAGACCAGACTTGGTTCCACCTTCAGCCAAATGCCACATGTACAACACCAACGATTTCACTACTGCTCATTTGGTCTGACTAAGGAGTACAGGTTAAACTTTGCCTGAAGGAACCCAGATCATTCTCTAGAAAGTTGAAGGTGTGGATCGTAATGAGTTTCCATCACCTACCATGAGACCCATCCTCTCGTCACTGCTCTTATTACAGTTTTGGTTTGGTGGTGGTTTTTGTTGGGGAGTGGAACAACAACACATGTCTGAAATCCAAGTGGTTACACAATCATTCCTACTGCTGAGTGATGCCAAAACCCTGGAATGCCAGAAAGCCCATTCTAATGCCTGGACCTGCCATCAGGTTATACTTCATTGGGCCTTGCCTTGACTATTTTCATTTCAACGACAATACAGACAGGACGTTTTGACATTGACAAAGAGTTAGTTTACATAACAGTCATGCTTTCTCCATAGGCTTCCTTTCATCCCTTACATGACACCGCTGCTTCATTACCTGATCCTTTATTTAAACATGCGATTAAAGAGAAACACTGTGGAAGCCCCACCCTTGGCAGCTTTTCCTCAGTAAGCAACGTCCTTCATTACAGCAACTACAACCACTGTCAGGGAACTTACTTGTAGGGCTTGTGATGACTATGTACTGTATTTTCTTTTTTCTCTGTCTTCTAGAGGAATTCTTTGGTCTAGAAAAGTCAGCTTCTGTAAGCCTACAAATAAGCTGTTCTGATGCAGTATCTCTAGCATTATTTAGCAGTTATTGGACCTGATAAGCAATCCTGAATTCCAGCATCTGGTCTGTATAACCACGGAAGATTGTACATTGACACCTCAATAGCACCCTTCAATCAAGCTGCTTTATGTAGTGAAAGGAAACTAGCAAAAACTAAGGAACACAATGTTGCAGCCCAAAGTGGAACAAAATATGGAATAACCACTACACGGCAGTTTAATATTTAAAGAAAACAAACTACCAGAACACCCGGGTATAGGGAGCAGGATTGAAAATAAGAAAATACAAGAAAGGATTATTCAACTTCAAATCTGCTTAAAGAAAAGAAATCAGCAGGACACCTGATGAGGTGTCAACCCTGAGGAGCAGGGTTGAAAATAAGGAAATACAAGAAAGGATTATTCAACTTCAAATCTGGCCAGAAGACAGTATCCACTGGTGTTAGACAGCGTAAGGGAATCATGACAGGACCAGCATCTCGTTAGAAAAAATGGATGTTCTTTTGGTTTGGTT